CTGTGATATCGGCAATACTACAGTGTCGTGTTCTACTGTGCAATGCAGTAGTTCGAAGATTGCTCAGCAGATGAACCAATGAATAGCAGAAGGCAACTATCAGACTCGTGGGGTCCCTGAGGCGGTTACATTTCAGAAGTGCTTGGACGAGACTATACTAACTGATGGTATGAACAGGAACAAGTCAGCCGCACAGGGTTGGTGCTCTGGCAACGCCTCTGTTGTTGACGATGTTAGTCACTATGCATTGGGCGCTATGATAGGCTTGTGGGTGGCCTTATTGATTTCTATGGTTCCTATGGTGTATGATCTATATCTACTGTGGGTACTGAGGAAACGACGAGCTCATGCTTACACTGCTCATGAAGATTTAGATGAAAATGGAGGAATTGGAGAAGAGGAAGACGGACCAAAGAAGACGCCAGCTCAGACTGTCACAGTCGTTCAAATTTGATTCCTTTTCTATTGCATCCTCTCGTATAATCGTTGGTGCATTCCCTCGTATAATCGTTGGTATATCTTTGTATACAGTTCTACGCGTTTTGTCCGGTTGTTGTCGTAGTAGATACTCAGCCATTTGGCAACTTCTTCCTGCATGGCCCGTGTCGTGTTCTAAGTTGTGATCGTGCGATGAAGTGAACCTACTCAGTGAGTATTAATAATCAATGTATCTGTACCGTCGCCCTGTTGGATGGGCTTAGTCGGATTAGTGATGTAAGACTGTGAGTTTGTGTTACTCGCCATCATTCACTCTAGTTGTATTTCCTTGCTAAATTGTGACTTTTGTATCTGCTTGAACATACTAATACTTTCGTACGATGCTGCGCTGTCGTATTCAGTTCGTCCAGACTGTAGTAGGAGTAGCTAGTCGAGGGTATAAGTTAGTCATGGTTACACTGAACGGTATTGTATGTTGGGAAACTACTACTACGAGGAGATGAAAAGGGCTCCTTTTCAGCTGCGTCAATTTCATTATTCTGTTTACGATTAGTTTTTCTGGGCAGTTGACATTTTTCGAGAAATGTCATCTCACTCGGTGTTGGAAGAAGAGAACAGTCATTATCCCACAGCTGAGACAAGGTAAGTGCCTTTAGGATCTTCTGAGTTCACAGCTCCGAAATATATGTTCGCTTTTTTCAGCTGATCTCAGGAGTTTTCAAAGCTAAGTGTAGAAGTTTCTCGTACGAATTTGAGTAGAAGTGTGCAAAAGCAAACAAGAATTTGCCGAAATTTTTCACATGTTGTTTTTACTGTACATTCAGTTCTCGAGCTGTCGCCATCACCAATATGTGGAGAAGTGTCTGTTCATCAGGCCCAGCGCTCCTCAAACGACAGAGGAAGATGCTCCTCATGAGCCGTCCTTCATCCTAGTGCCCCCTCGCTTCTACACTCCTATAGACGACTCAGTAGATCGATACACCAAAGCCTTATCGCAACACTTGCTCATGCAAAGGGCCAGACAGAGAGTGCTCAACGACAACATTGCTGAGGCCGTAATAAGCCTCTCGAGTATGCTTCTCATGATGCCCTACGTATAGGTACATCTTTCCTTCTCTGTTGCTCCAGAGCAGCCGGCTTTCGCTAAGGTTGAGGCGAATATCACTGTAAGCAGGGTTGGAATATATGTCGGGTTCTTTCAGCTGAGCTCAGATGTTTTCAATGTTACATTGAGAAAATCTACATTCGATTTAGGGCGTACAAAAAGTGAGAAAAATTTCCCAGAGAATTTCCTCGGAATTATTATCAACACACATAGTTGACCATGTGCATCTTTCCCCTTCCCCCTACACGGTGTTGTTAACTGTGATACTTGTAGATACCATACAGTCTCGATCTCAAGGGGGCTATGACAAAGGTAGAGGGTCTCGATACAGGAATGAACGGACTCCAGATGAAAGTGTCTCTGCCTCCCGAGTGAGTACCACCTGCAGTATATGTTTTCTCTACATCCTATTCAGGGGTACATGGTCCCCTCTCACCGCGGCTGGCCGTCTGCGTTTGACTACCTCGGGTGGCTTATCAGCCAGTGGTTTTATATCCCGTCCGATTGGTGTAGAGGAGGAAGCGACCGCTGCTATTTTTGGCACTTTAGGCCAGGGCCCGACCATCGACGATAACAACATTGGTGAGATATGTGTTGGAAAATATTTGATCGCTTTCCTCAAATGAAGTTGGAAATTTCCTCACTTATGGATGAGTTCATATGCGCATTCGGGTAGAAGTTTACAGAAACCAACTAGAAATTCCTCAGAATTTTCATATTGTCACCAACATATGTGGTCGAGCATGTGGGGCCTATCTTGACAAGTATTTTGGTACCTTAGGTTTCCGCGTGGATTACAAAGATGCTTCCTATGGCGTCTGCCTCGAATCCAGTCATCACACCACTACCAACTGTGGTGGTCTTCCCAGCACTGCGCCCTCTATGACCAGCGAGAGCTGTGGTGTCAGCGGCAGCTCGGTGGCTTCTTCCTCCTCCACTGTTGCTGAGGAGACGACATGTCCTTCGTTTTCGGGATGGGTTTGGGGACGAACGCACTTTGGTGAGCTACAGCTACTCATAGGATGCATAGATGACTCCGGCAGGTCTTTCTGGAGGGGTCCAAACTGGAATAGATGCCCACGGCGAATCTCTGGGGTAGGTCGGCGAACGTATCTTAGGTTCATTCGGGCGTTCCACAGTTACCGTTGTGTTGGAGCCTTTTCCTCGGCCTCGGCAGATTCGAATTATATACCAACTGGTGGTGACTATCAGTTGGTCGGTGAATACAATAGCGCCACTAAGTCCGTCACGGCTGCCTACCATCAGCTTATAGTCATGCAACGGAAGGTGCCGGGATCGAACCTCTGCGGGTTACCATACACCGGGTTTTCAGTGCTACAACCTCCTTGAAGATAAACACATCTCAGCAATAGCCAACTACGTCGATGTAGCAGTGGAGGCCACTCGTAACGGAGATACTGGCAAATCCGAAATTGCAGTCGGCGCTTCTTGGCAACCCAACAGAGTAAAACCTCCAAGCAATCGACCCCTCCTCACACGTGCTTGTCAGACCTGGCTCATCAAGGCACGGCTATCCACCCTTGCTGGGGTCGGCCTTACAGTAGCGGCTAAGTCGTGGTCGCAGATGAATGGTGTTGTCGCAGCTACTGCTGGTCTGCGAAGCTCAGGACCGTAATGACTACCACTTGAAATCTTGCTCACTCTTGCATTTCCTCAATTTTCAGTTACTTCGGGCTGCGATGTCATTTTCAGAACTGGGGTTCTGAAGTGTTTGGCAAGGCGGCGGAGGACAGCAGTCCTGTTGGAAATAAATGGGCACCTCTTGATGAGTGAAAATTTCGCGCGCCACAAAAATATTTTGATGATATTTTGTTGACGAAAGTTGTTGAGTTATTGAAGAACACAAAGTTAGTTTTGTAAGAATAGAAAACGTTGGGTGCTCGAACTGCATCAGAGCGAAGGCAAACGATTTTGCCAATCTTTCGGACTAGTGACGGGCCTGAGGATAGACAGTGTTGTTGGTTGTTGGATTCTTTTAAACTTACTGAAATCGCAAAGCAGCGTTCTTGAGAGCGGTAGTGCTAGAAGTGGTAGTCGTAACGGTTAACCTCTGCCGTTTACTGCGGATGGCATCGGACCACAACCAGCAGTCCTCAAGGGAAGCCGACACTTCATCGTTATTCTCCTCATTTTCACCTATAACAAAATACTAGTAACAGCTTCCTATGTGAGGGGACTACAAGGCTTCATCGCTATACTATGTAAATATGAGGAAAATTCGTGACGAATTTATCCTTAAGAGAATTCGCACGGATCAGTGGTGCGAAATTCTCGTTCGCCATTATATGCAAGTAAGGGTCATCTAAGCTTTGTTGAAGTCGCGGTCTGAACTACTGCTGCAGTAGCGAAAAATAGTTAATTTTCCAAATTTGCCTCGAAAAAATAAACGCTCTAAATTATGATGCATCCCTAGTAGTATCGTCAAGTTCAAATAGTTGAGGTATGGATGACATATTTCTCACCTGTGTTCGCTCCTCTGCGTTTAACGGAGATAGTGCCACTGGCTTGGCTGCCGCTACTGCGGTCCAAATCTCGGGAGAATCTTTTAAATTGAGGAACTATAACCTTCGAGCATTCGGGATCATAATGGAACCTATAATGAAGAACTACAAGCCCTGTTACATATACGTAGAGGATACCCAGCGGCGATGGCAGTCCAGTAGAGGCAAACTGGATGAGTGTAATCAAGTCCAACGATCATGCCTTCCTCATCGAGGCACCCTCGGACCGAGCCGAACCTGCCAATGGGACACCTGCTAGTGAATATCGCCGGAGAAGCCATTTGCCTACTTAGTGAATATCTCCAACAAGGTATGTGCAGAGTCCCTTCCGAAGGGTGTGGTGACCAAGGCTTCGCCCATGGCCTTGGCCATCCATGGTGCGGCATTCTTACTACCCCCTAGGGTGGCATCCACGCCCATAACGCCTCGGCAGAGACCCTCGAGGAGACCCGTGGCGTCCTCTTGACTAAGCAGTAGCCGTAGAAGCTTCGGTAACGACTCGAGACAGGTGGCGAGGGCTGCTTGGACCGGCTGAGAGGAAAGCACAGTCGGGCCACGATTCACTCCGATACCCTATAGTAGTGAATTTGCCTCAAAAAGGATATTGTAAACCGACTTGCGTCAGTGTTAGGATATATGTTTGGTTTTCTCAGCTGAGCTCAGAAGCTTCCAAAGCTACATTGTATGTAGGTGCGGAAGACTTAGGACAGACGCAAACAAAAAAGAACAATAATTTCCCAAAATTTCCTCAGAATTTATGAATTGCATCAACACACGTCAGTTGACCATATGCATATCCCCCCATTGCATGTTGTACCTCTCCAATAGCCTTGCCTGCCGAAGAGCCTGCTAACTTGAGTAGTGCTAGTGCGGCGTGAGCGGCCAATAACGGGCCGCTGTCACTACCACTACTCAGCTGCTCTGTGAAGAAGTCCCGGAGCTCATGCGCTATCTCGATGACCAACTCCAAATTGGCAGCATCTGCTTTTTCCCCGACTCCTTTGAGACATTCCACTATCACCTCTTTAGGGTAGAGGTGGGACGTTCGTAATACCCGCAGATAGACGACCAAGACCTCAGCTAATACGACCGCCTCAGCCTTCCTCACACGCTCCTTATTGAGACCGGCGAAGCCAGCATCCAAGTCCCGGTTGATGTCAGTGTCCTCCTCCCCAGAAGCCAACTTAATTGCCACGTTATGGGTTTCCTCGATAATGTTATTGCTAGTGTCGGTCCTGGCCAACTTCAGCAGAGGCGCTAGATGGACCAGTTGCTGAGGACTTTTCACTTTACCAATCATTATGACTATTTTCTTGGTGGCGACCTCGACCGCCGCATCGTCCTTAAGGACCCCTTCAATGGTGTTAATAGCCGTCGTGTCACCACTGCCCGCACTGGAGACTACCATTGCTAGAAGTCGGTCGAAGTCGTTGAAGGTCCAGAGGGAAGCGCAGGTGAGCAGGGCGCACATACCGCGGATCTCCTTCATCGTTTTGAGGCGGGTGAGCAGGTTCTGGTAAGCGTCGACGAGTTTAGTGTCGTAGGTAAGGATTTCCTCGGCTTGCTTGCTCAACTTCTTGTTGGTTTTCTGAACACCTACGCCGGTGCTTTTATAGGCGGGGATGATATCTTTCATAACAGCGACACCCGTGAGGACGGCGCGTCGACTAAGGCGTTTGTCGACTTTGGCGGAGTTATCACAAATTGCCCAAACGACCTGCATCCAGTCTATGTTCTCGTTGGGGTTGGAGCATATCTTGTCAGCAGCAGCTGCTAACCATCGCTCCATTGTAGGGACGGTGTCGGGGGTGAAGGATGAGGGCTTCTTGAGACGCTCTAGGACGGGCCAGAGACGATGGGCGTCGTCTTTAGTGACAGTCATATGGGAAACTAATGAAGCCTGAGCAAAGCTCCTATGGGCTCCTTTGGGTCATCATCTATACCGTAACGGGGTCAACCTATGGCGACTACCGCAACCAACCTATGAGAGTTTCATACAGAGTCTCTACTACCAATCCTAACCGAAGACAAGAAAGTGCGGCGATGATTTGACTGGCTCGAAAGATGTCACGCGTGGGAATAGAACCAGGGAGTCTGGAAAGGGAAGAGGCTCGAAAGAGAATCGATTATCAGGGCGTGCGATAACTCCACGACGGTCGTGATTGCAAGCCATTGATCGCTCTAAATGGGGATTTGCGCTGACAACGGATTCTTGGGATGGTTAGAGGTCCCCGGAAGTCGGTAGTTGGCCGCGGGTGTGGTGAGAATTAGGTCTCGGGGGCAGGGTGGAGGGCGAAAGATACCTTTGGGGTCGGCTGGGAGTATCTTGCGCCGTTTCAGTTCGTTACGACGGTTATTTTCCGTTGACCATCCGATCGTCCGATCGGATTATACAGCAACTTAAAAGAAGCTCAAAAAAGAAAAAATGAGTAAGCCTGAGTCCTGGCTCCTCATCCTCTTTATCATCGGTCGTCCCTCAGCTACCAATGCTAACCCAGCCAACCCTACCCCACCAGTTACTGCTGCCTCCCCTGGGGGGCCGACTACTACTGGGCCTCCTCAAGCCACTACTGCCCAGCCTGGTGGTCCTCCTGGAGGTACTCCGAGTCAGCAGTTCGCCTCCCTCTATGCTGGTGATCTCGCTCCGGACGTCACTGAGGCCGTCTTATATGAGGTCTTCAATGCAGTAGGTCTACACGCCTATGCCCAGTGGCCGAAACTCTGTCTTCCTCCTCTCTTCTCAGATTGGTCCGGTGGCCTCCATCCGCGTGTGTCGCGACTCTGTTACTCGCAAGTCTCTCGGTTACGCCTATATCAACTTCCATAACGTCGCCGACGCCGAGCGTGCCCTCGACACTCTGAATTACTCCCCCATCAAGGGCAGGCCCTGTCGTCTCATGTGGAGCCACAGGGACCCGGCCTTACGCCGTAGTGGCGCCGGAAATGTCTATGTTAAGAACCTTGATAGAAACATCGACAACAAGGCTCTGTAGGAGAGGACGGACGACTTGCCGTTTACCTTTGCATTTTCCTATGTCTTCAGTTACGACACCTTCTCCCTATTCGGCAACATTCTCTCCTGCAAGGTCGCTTTGACCCCCGATGGGAAGTCCAGGGGCTTTGGTTTTGTCCACTTTGAATCGGACGAGTCCGCAGAGGCCGCGATCGCTAAGCTGAACGGAATGCAAATTGGGGAGAAGACTGTCTACGTGGCTCCATTCAAGAAGACGGCTGAAAGGTAGGGGGAGGGTGCTGACGAGGAGGGAGAGCAACGTTTTGCAGGAACGATGGAACTCCGAAAAACTTCACGAACGTTTATATTAAGCATATTCCGGCCTCCTGGAATGAGGAGAAGATCAAGGAGGAGTTTGGGGCCTTTGGGGAAATCACCAGCCTGGCTGTGCAGACGGTAAAGTGGCGAAGGTGTGGTATGAGTTTTCTTTGATGGCGTATTTTTGTGGCAGGACCCTAAGGGGAGGAGGTTCGCCTTCGTTAATTATGCTGAATTTGAACAGGCCAGGGCGGCGGTGGAGGAGATGGACGGCAAGGATGTTAGAAATGAGGAAGAGAAGGCCGCTGATAGAGCGCAGAGGGTGAGGGGAATATCGTGGCGCGCGAAATAATATTTCCCTCTTACAGGAACGTGAACGTGAGGAGAGAAAGGCAGCTCGTGAAGCTGCGAAGGCCGAAGGGAGAGAGGAGGGTGATGATGTTGAATCTGATGATGACGATGAGGAGCCCGAGACCTCCCATTTGTACGTGGCTAGGGCTCAACCCAAGGCTGAGCGTGCGGCCGTGCTGAAGGAGCAGTTTTCGGCTTCTAGAGGGGCTCAGGGGGGCGGAAGGTTTGGTGGGGTTAATTTGTATGTGAAGAATTTGGGGGAGGACGTTGACGACGCTGAACTGAAGAAAATGTTCGAGCCCTTTGGGACGGTTACTTCGGTTAAGGTTATGGTTGATGACAAAGGGGTCTCGAGGGGATTCGGATTTGTGTGCTTTTCGACCCACGAGGAGGCAACCAAGGCGGTGACTGATATGCATTTGAAGCTGATCGGGGGGAAGCCGTTGTATGTGGGGATGCATGAGAAGAGGGAGCAACGCTTGGAGAGGCTCCAACAGAGGTATAGGGCACCGCCCCAGCAGATGGGAGGGTTTAATGGTCCACCCAGGGGTGGAGGAGGAGGGTATGGTGGCATGGGGGGTGGCGGCCCAGGGATGCCTGGAGGGTTTGGTGGTGGAGGCGGCCCAGGGGGACCAGGCGGCTTCAATCAGCCGCAGCCTATGTATTATTCGGGAGGAGGAGTGCCAAGGGGAGGGCCTCAGATGGGAGGTGGCGGGTATAGGGGAGGCATGCCGGGTGGCCCCCAGTATGGCCGTGGCCCTAGAGGGTTTGGTGGCCAGCAAGGTAGGGGTGCTGTCTGTGCAACTGGTCGGGACTTGATTATTGTGTGATAGGTATGATGCCCGGTGGAGGAGGAGGTCCTCGTGGCCCCCCCATGGGCATGGGCGTGAGGGGAGGCCCGTTTGGGCCCATGGGCGTGCCGGGTGGAGGACCACGTGGTCCTCCTCCCGGGGGCATGGGAGGAGGTGGTCCCCCAAGAGGCCCCCCTATGGGAATGCCCAACAGAGGGTTTCCACCCCAAGTACAGCAGCAACAAGGATCGATGGGAGGACCAGCACCACCACAGTCTACTGGTCAGCAACAAGTAAGGAGGAGGAGGATGAAGGGTTGGTAAAGGACATATTAATCTGATCAGCCCTTGACGGCCGCTGGTTTGGCCGCAGCCCCACCAGCTATCCAAAAGCAGATGTTGGGAGAACAACTCTACACGCAGATCCAAAGGATCCAACCGCAATTGGCCGGGAAGATCACGGGTAGATGAAGACTTGCAATCTTACTCCATCTTGCAATTCCTCAACGCTAGGTATGATGCTCGAGATGGACAACAGTGAACTGCTCATTTTACTGGAGTCGGAATCACAGGTGGGGATGTGCCCTTTGGGGTCTACTATGAAAGTGGTGGTGTTTTTGTTGTAGCTGCGTGCGAAGGTTGATGAGGCCCTGATGGTGCTGCATTCGAAGTAAAGGATGATGAGTGATTATTGTTATTATGATGATGATGGTGAATTTGGTTTGTCGTTGTATCACGAATGACGTGAATGATGGAGAGTAGTGAGATTTTGATGCTATGGTGGACTCGAGATTTTCCCTCTTATTTATCTATGCTTAATTTTTTATTGTTATTACATTTCGATCGGTGATGCGATCAAGGTGAGGTATGAGTGATGATGATGTTGTTGAGGTGGAGGAGGAGAAGGTGGGAGGGTTATAATTTGATAGGAAAAGCGTAAAAACTGTAACTAGGATGCTGATGATTTGCAGTGTTTGTGGATAGATGGATTATGATGGTGATAATGTGGCGAGTAGCGTGATTTTGTTAACTCACTGTGTTGAGTCTAGTCCACTGTCAAAGGGGGTTTGCTTGGTTTTAGTGGGAGGTGCGGTATGGTAGATGCTCGTGCTACGACGGGTGTTGAGGAGGAGGCTTCTAGGCGGGGGCGGCCTGGGGCTGAGCAAAGACGATTTTTGGACTCAAAATTTGTGGTACCGGTAGCGAGCGATTCTGATTATGTTCATGACGTTAGTTTTAGCTATTATGGGGATAAGGTGTAAGTTGGGGGGAGGAATCTTGAGGTTGAGCGTGGAAGATACGGATCATGTCAGGGCGATGTGTACGTCAGCGCAGAATATATTAATTTGGAAAGTGAGCGAGGATGGTGATGATTGGGAGTTGGAGGCGTGCATTTCGGCAGCTCATAACGCCCCTATATGGAGGTTAGGTAGTGATACTGGGTGATAGTACTTAGTAAAAGGCATGGAAAAACACAAGAGGAATTACGTGGAGTATATGTTGCTGAAGAAGTCGTTCACTAGGCGTTCTTTGATCGGTTGTTTGGTAGACGCTTTTTAACGGTTGATAACGTATGCCATATTATCGCTAAGCAAACTGAGTTCTATTATCACTCTGCGTTGAATCATCCTTCGACGATTACACCAGTTGAGCTCTCAAGACCCTTGAAGATTGAATATGTGTTACGGACATTTGCAGGATTTTAATATCTCAACGGCATCTCTAGCATCAGCTTCGGAAGGAATATTTTCTGCCGGGCTTTTTGCTGTGTTGATGTCGCTTTGTGAACGAGTTGGCGGATCTGTATTAGCAGAGAGCTATGATGATGTTGATTTGAGGTGTGGGTGGAATTGAAACGGTTATAGGTTGGGTTTTTGGTAGACTGGGCATACCCGGAGTTTGGTGAGATAATAGCGAGCTGTAGCGAGGATCGAGTGGTGTCGATATGGAGTTGTGAGGAGTATGATGCTGAGAAGGTGTCGGCGTTCGATGAAGGATGTAGGGGTATCTTAGGTTTCCTACAAAATAGGTCCGCTGTTTTAGCTACTACCACCACTCGTTGGAGGAAGAGAGCATGTTTGACGGACAGCTCGCATGCCGTTACTGATATCCAATTCGCCCCGCGTCGGTGGGGGCTCAAGTTGGCCTCGTGTAGTGCTAGTGGCTGTGTCAGAACGTAGTAGAGGGGGAGGTGGGGTAAATTTGTCGATTGAATATAGTGTGCATAAGGCAGCAGCTAACTGGAGTTGTCATGCTGTAGGTATGAGGCCATGGACCCTGTTAATCTTGCCACATGGGTGTTGGAAGACGTCATAACAGTGCATAGGATCAGGGCTGGGTCTCAGAATACTAGTACTACTAGTACCGCACCAGCAGCAACTCCTGCGGCGCCAACTGGTGTTATTCATGGGAGTGATGGCGACAAGACGTAGGGGGTTTGACTTCTTATTGGTGTCTTGATTCTCGTTCTGGCGCTCAGGAGGCTCCCGGTAGGGGCTACAGCGCTGTCCTGGTGTACAAGCTCGATAGTCCAGTGTGAAAGGCTGGTCGTAGTAGGGCATAGTGGTTTGGTGAAGTTACTCGATAATCAATCGGGTCGGCCGAGTAGTGGAGGTGGTCGATCGGAGATAGCAGGAGGAGGAGGGAGGTGGATCGAACGGTCGTGCGTGGTGGGGTGTAAAGACAGCACTGGACGGATGGCTGCTGCCAAGGACGTTGCATGGGCACCGAATTTATGCAGGTAGAGGCTATTGGTTGTTGCTATATGGCAGTGTTGGAGGTCCTTCACCTGAGCTCAGGAGTTTCCATACTACTTTACGTACGAATTCGGTTGGAGATATACAGGAACCAACAGAAACTTGTCAAAATTTCATCAGATTTCCCACCTTGTTACAGCATGTGCATCTTCTCACCGATTACTATATGGTCTTGGCAGAGCTGTGTGATGAGCTCATTCGTGTTGTTATGAAGTCGTCTTGACCACAAGTGGAATACTATGCACGTGATTGATGATGCATGATTTTGGTGACAATATGAAAACTCGGGGAATTCTCAATGGGTTTGTATACACTCCCATCCGAACTATACGACTATAATGTGACGAAGCTCCTTTCTACTGGTAGGCCTTTTGACGTTCTAGTGGTATGTGGGAGTAGTAACCTCGTATGTATCTTCAACTGCTCGATATCTGGCAACCTCTCACACGTCCAGACTTTGGACCTCGGTCCGAATGCTGGGCCGGTGTGGAGGGTGGCTTGGGACCTGACTGGCACTATACTGGCGACGGCACAGGAGGGAGGGCAGGTGGGAATTTCGTGCCGCGTGACGTTTTTATTGTCAACTGGAAGGTACGAATATGGCATCGTGAGGAAACGAGGGAGGCGAAGTGGGTTGAAGATGTGAAGGGTCGGAGGTCTCCACCAACAATTCAGAGACGCCCGTAGGCGTTGTGTTGGTCACCATTTTTGTAACAGTTTCCAATGTTAATCGATCTGCGGCTTTATCAATGATTAGGGGTGAAGTGGCGATGGTGTGGTATGGGGCGTTTGATCGCTACTGGGTTCGACATAGTCTAATAGAGTGTCTTGAGGATGCTCTGCGAGCTGACTAGCATCTTGGAGGTGTACTGTTGGAGGAATATATGCTCGCTCTCCTCAGCTGAGCTCGAGAGGCAACATCCTCATTATAGGAGTTCCCGTTCGATTCCGCGTAGAAATACACAAAAGGAGTATTTCCCGAAATTTCCTAAGAATTTTCATATTGTCACCAACATATGTGTTTGACGACCATGTGCATCTTTTCCCACGCTAATTCGGCGCATGAGGAGGCAGCCCTGGTCTAAGGGAGGCAGTAGTAGGGTTATTACTATCAAGTTTATCCTTTTATAATGCTAATCCCTAGTCCCAAGCAGCTAGTGAGGGGTTGTGGGTCCTGTCTGACCACTTCAGTTGATGTGCACACTCCAGGAGTAGCCTGGTTGAATCTGGGTGGTCGGAGATGGTTTGCTAAGCCCAAGCAGAGGAAACAGAAAAAGATAGTTCCTACGGCAGAGCACTTGGCAACGAAGGGCCTACCACCGATGCGTTTGGAAGATCGGATCGGCAACCCACAGAGCCCTTATGAGATTGCTAAGAATATCAGGCAACATATCTCGAGGTTGACTAAACAGGATAGGAATCAGGTGTGAGAGGGTAGGATCAGTTGTGGACCAGTTCGAAGAATTTCTGTGGATTTTTATATATATTCCTACCTCAAGTCGTGTGGAAATCTTCGAAATGTAGCTTTGGTAACTCCTGAGGAAAGCAAGCATATATTCCAACAACACTGGTGGGGACAATCAATGATCGCGAGAAACATCTAGGAGGCTTGTCGTCAGTGCTGCCAAATATGTACTCGCTTTCCTCAGCTGAGCTCAATAGTTTCCTCACTGATCATAGGAGTTCGTAGACGAATCGAGAAAAAATACGAAAAGTGGACAGAAACTAACAGAGTTTAGATATTGTCACCAACACTTGTGGTTGGTGATGTGCCAGTTTTACCACACTGCTTGTCGTAGCCTCTACTACGGGCCTATTATGTGTAGCTCTTCGTATATGTATACCTTCCGCTCAGCAGTTGCGCCGCGGGCTCGTTTATCTCTGGTTGAATCACTCAGCTGAGACAGCTCGTAGGCCGACCTCGAGCGGCCCTTGCAACTCCACCAATTATTTTCCAAATAATTAAAATTATTTTCGTCTTTTATCGTACGGTAGTTTTTTGTCAGATTCGGCGTAAAAAAGATTTCCGTCGTTACACTCTCCATAGAATGTACGAGTTTGCGGGCCTCACCCATACTACACCAACATCACGGGAGTATGAGGAGGAGAGGGCTGGGGTGTAACCAGGTGGAGGGGAGGGGTCTATGGGGTTGACATTGGAATGGTTTTGTTGTAGTGGTAGTACTAATGTGGATTGCACACTCGGGGAGTTGCTCTAGGATAGGCATGATAATTTGGTGAAGGTGTGGTATGGGTATAATATTTGATTTTTAGGGACCAATCACAGTTCGTAACGGGACTAACAGCACTACAGCATGGCAGCCACTTGCCGAGGAGTCCAACAGATGAGAATAGGTTCCGATTCCCTCACACTATACATTATAAAGCGTAACAGCTAGGGAGTAGGATATAGTGGAATGTTGGTGACTGCCTCAGGTGGTGGGGGCCTCCGACGGTTGAGAGGAACCCCAATCGGTATGAAGGCTCAATGGAAGGGGTCACGGCCTGTTTTAAGGCTACTGATGTTGCTGATAGGGGGCATGCAAAGACAATAGCAGAGGTGGTCGGCCCTAAGCGTTATGACGAGGCATCTGGGGTTGTTGCTGTGAGAGCTGATACGTTTGACAATCGCAATCAGGTGAGGGGGAGAGGGAGGGAGCTAGCGTTAAAGGGAGCTAGCGCCGTCTCTGCCGGGACGGGAGGATGCATGCTGCGAATTTACCATCGAATTCGCGCGAATATTTTGCGAGCACCGGAGAGCCTGATCGTCTGTGCGGAGGGTGTGTCGGGGTATAAAAACATATGATCAACTACATGCGTTGATTCTGACTATGAGGGAATTTCGGGGGAATATCTATTGGTTCTCGCGCACTTCTAGTGTATGTTGTAACTAAATCTTCATAGTGCGATGAGGAAAGTTGTGATCACAGCTGAAGAAAATGAGCAAGGACTTCGAAACTAATGAGATTGTGTTGTACTTGAAACTGTGGATGTTTAAAAAAGAATACTTGCCTGAATTCACGCCTCATCCTTACTAGTAGTAGTGGTATTAGTAGTGGTAGTAGTAGTGGTAGTAGTAGTGGTAGTAGTGGTATTAGTAGTGGTAGTAGTAGTGGTAGTAGTAGTGGTAGTAGTAGTAGTAGTAGTAGAGGAGTGCCTTGCTCAGAACGCTGCATATCTGGGAGATTTGGTAGAGCTGCTTGTGAGGGAATGTGGATCGTCATCACCAAGAGGAGTGGAGGGTGATACTGTTGTATCAACGGCTGGGGTGGTAGCAGAGGCGCCGCCACCTCTGGGGCCTCCATTGAAGTATGGTCGTAGTAGGATTAGGAGAAGGAGTGGTAGGAAAAAGGATGTGACTGCAGGAGAGGCATGAGTTTCTGATACTCTCCACTCTAGTGTTGGTTAACTTGGAGGGTTCTTCTGTTTGGCACGGTAGGGACAATTTGGAGAGGTTGAATTCTCGACAGAAAAATTTGATCCATGACATATTCCAACAATGGAGTTTCACGCCCCGTTTTACGTGAAGTGGCGTCGTAAAACTCGGTGAAAAACGGGATATTCGCGATGATATGCAGTAGTCGTGAAATATGTTTTTCACTAGTATTTTTCATATCACTAGGGTGGTGAATCTCCATTATAATAGTGTTAGGAAGATGTTTATACAAAATTTCAACTTCATTTTAGCTCTAGGTTATCGCGGTGACACGAAATGGATTTCCTAGATTGTGCGTAGTAGTGTAATAGGAAGTAGGGCCGGCCAGGGTTGGAATATATGTCCGCTTCCCTCACCTGAGTTCAAGTTAAGGTGTAGAAATTCACATACGAATTCGGGTAGGAGTGCACAGAAGGCAGTAAAAAAATTTTCTCAGAATTTCCATAGTTTCACCAAGACTTGTACTTGAACATGTGCATATTTTTCCACCCTGAGTTTGGCTACTGTGTAGCGAGGTTTCTCCCTCTGCTGTATGCCTCCCCGTGTCGTGGTCGTGATGAGAGGGGGCCTGGTGAGGCTAAGTGGCTTGAGGATGTCCGATGCCACAGTGGAGGGTAATGCTGATATCCTCGCAGCGTTGGAGAGGGTTAGACGGCTGAGGCGAGGAGGAGGAGTAGATGGGGGTAGGCCGGGGGGGCTCAATGCGAGGGAGTAGGTGAGTTGAAGAGAACACCGACGTAGGAATACAGTCCATCTAGAGGGATAAAGCTGATATGCTTTGTTGGGCTCCCCAAATCGCCATTGTTGTTGCGTATCAGAGCTGCCTGGGAGTGTGGAAGGTTCAGTGACTTAGATACTCCCAAATCCGCCCGTTCCAGGAGTGGTAGAAGTCGTAGAGAACATCCCTCGGGTGGTCGCGGTAGAGCACAGGCTCCAGTCGAGTACAGTGAGTGGTTGAAGGTGACGAGGGAAGGATGAGGCTATGTTGGTCCCCTCATAACAACGGTGTCTTTAGTCTGCTGTACAGCATCTCCCAAAGCCACAGACCGCAGAGAGTATGTGGGAGTATTATAAGGCTTCATGTGGGGTCCGCCCGACCCAGCATCGACCTGAGGCTGACAGCATTGGGTGAGCCTCACAGCGGTAGTTTTGAGGAGAGGATCGTCGCAGTTCCTCATCGAAGTTGCTTTCGAAGGATGGAAATGTCAAAGGAAGAACTCTCGAGCTGCAGGAGAAGAAGTGGGGGTCGACTTCACTATGGAAGGTGGTCATGTTTTGTTCGTGTAGGGTTTTCATTGGGGAATATAATCGATATATGTCGCAACTTTGGGGCGCGCGAAGGCGTGTTAGAATGACGAAGCGCCGACAGAAAATGGCTAAGAAAATGCAAACGACGGAGAATGAGGGTTACGAAGAGCCGGAGCCGAACTATGTTGCTGCGCATTGGCGATTTAAGGATGGCGTGGTAAAGTCTTTGGTAGAGGACGTGTTTAAAGCGGGCATGTATAGTGAAGTGTATCGGCATGCTAGTGAAAGTTTGGGGGCTGATGAAGTGCCACATGATAGCGATAGATTTGTGGACGTCTTGAAGCAGGCTTTTAGGAAGCACGTCACTACTGAGGTGAGGTGTTAAGGGGTACTCGAGGAAAAGAGTGTAAAATGGTCCCGAAGGATCTTAGCGGCGAAATGTTGTTGAAATTATGGTGATGTCAATGCTGGTAAACTACAGTATTTCCAGGTAAAATTAATATTTTGCCGACAAATTTAATTTTTTACCCATTTGGTTAATGTTTTACTCTTTTCGTTAACATTTTACGGCAAAATATTTCGGCAATTTAAATTCGTCGGCAAAATATTAATTTGACCTGGAAATGCAGTAGATGCTGAATAGGTGGCTTGTATGCAGGCCCGACCGATACTAACGAACGAGTTGTCGGACTACGAGACGCCGTATATGATGCAGCGACAGACACGAGAGCGGCTCCTGAGAGATGAGTGTGCCAGGAATCAACTCGATGAGAGCATGATCGACTACACTCTGGACACCAGTGATGGTAGGGGCCGGAGGGACGGCGGTGTGTCTTTAATGGTGTCTTCATCAGATTTGGTGAGGCTGCGGGGTAAGGCTCCGATGCCCCCAGATCTCTTGGAGCCTTTGATGTCGTTTAGAGGTATCACAGAGTGGGCCCATGACCCTAGGGATAGGCTAAAGCAGAAACTGGATGGAGTTAACAATGTGAGTGATTTCGAGCGGAGCGATGCATATTTATCGGGAATAGGTACTCGATTGGTTGAAGAAGACGAAGAAGGCTGGCAGGTGGAGGTGCGATGGGTTTATAGTGAAGAATGCGGTGGCTTCTGTTAGGAAAACGAACGGCGACTACCCCGAGTTTAAGGCGGGTCGGCCGGAATGGAGATATTTTCATCCATTTAATAACCATTTTGGCTTCACTCCTGCCTCACAGCCGAGGGGAGTTTTGGGTGGCACTAAATTTGGCCGAAAAATTGACCCTGAGGAACGTATGATGAGGTTGGTGGTGATGTGACAGGTGCCGGGATCGAACCTGCTTTCTTTTGAAGGTATCCCACTCTGCAACGAGTTGCCCATAGCCTCTCCAAAGACCCGGTGTATCGGCGTCTAACACGTCATCAGATTAACGTCTTAGAGCGAGCATATGGGTGGAAGTACTCCTGCCAGACCCAGGCAATCAACACTCTCAAGGAGGTTTTGGACGACCTACCCCCTCACGCCCATTACAAGGCTAGACTCGACTGGGCTCTGCCGATACAGAGGTACCTTATGAGTTGATCGGTGAAAGGATCGTTGCCGTTGTA